ATAGAGCTGTTTAACGTGCCACCCGGTTAGCTAAACAGAACACCGGACTGTTGTGCGGGAGGTCGTGAGTTCAAATCCGGCCGGACCAACACTCAGGGTCTTTAATTGACTGAGAAGAAAGAGCTGCCTTTGTAATAATATCTGCAAATGGTTAGACTTTCTAGTCTTCTCGGATAGGGACGATAAATGGAGGTCCCGTCTCCTGCAGGGTTGAGGTAGGAGACGTTAATTTCCCATACACGAGATTACTGTGTGATGGATATCCTCCCCGGGGTGAGATGGGTGGGTAATAAAGGGGTTAGGTGTCAACTGGAACAAAAGTTCTGTTCCTTTCTTCTGCCATTCCTGTGGCGAACAAATTAAACTAAACTTAAACTTAAACTAAAGGTACAGAGTTCACTTTCGTGAGCAGATGGCTCAGAAGAAAAGGTCTATTAGAAAGTAACAGTTGCTAGTCCTGCCTTTTACAAAATTAGAGCATTCAAATCCAGCACTTAGGTAGGGAATTTGAACACAATTTTGGCCCCTGGGGCTTGAATATTAGAACGAACCAGTCTTCAAAAGTTCATATGTCCGGGGGATTGTTGAAGCTTCGAATTGTATGACACATAAGGTCGGGTTAACGGGTTCTACTACTTTACTTGGACACTACTATAAATTGAACCTTGAAGCCACATGTTGGGTGAGAGGAAAATTTTGGGGGGCTCTTTGTTTTTAAAACGTAACCTCGCATACTGGCTCGAATCACGTGGACGCCCGAATTTTTCAGGGTTCTTTTCTACTATTTCTACAATAGCAGCTCACGTACAAGCGAGTGACGTATCCCCATGAGAGTATTGGCTTGAGAATGGGCAATTATCCTCCCACGACGGAATAGTCTAGAGTACGCTTAGTCACAGAAATTTGGGTTTTTCTTTCAATTTTTGAAATAAATGCATTCATTATCCAAAGTACATTCCTTAGAGTACAAATAACGCCATAGACGAGTACAAATATATATATATATATATATATATATATATATATATATATATATATATATATATATCTTATTAGACGTTTTGTTGTGTAGTATCGCAGGCCCGTAGGCTGGGGGGTTCGGTAAGGGGTTTGGACAACCCCCCTCCACTGCCTGGAAAGGTCCGCCCAGTGGCCTAGTCACAAATAATTTGACCGGCTTAAAACATGTCTCGCACGTACAAAAAATATTACTGAAACCTTAGTTGTGAAAACGTGACACTATTGCTGCAGATGTGACGACTGTGGAAAGGAAAGAATAGACGTTAATTTTATAATAAGAAGCCTTTGAATCACCAAAGAAACGTGGCAATTCCTTTACTTGACCACATTATCATGTGTATCGAAGAGCAGTTTTCGCCTTCGGCAAAAGTTGCCACGTCACTACTTGGCCTCGTTCTAAGTGTTTTCTGTTCAAGAAATGTCAACGTCAATGCAGCTGTTAACACTTACACTGATGATCTCCCGTCCCCTGAGTTGCTCGAAATGGAACTTACGCGATGGAGAAGTCGATACTTAGCAATGGAACCGCAATTATGGCCAGCTTCACCTGCTGTGGCAATCAAAGATTGTGATGCTGCCCTCTTTCCAAATATTAGCATTCTTCTCCAAATTGCCTGCACAGTTCCAGTCACATCGTGCGAATGCGAACGAAGCGCAAGCACATTGCGACGACCGAATAACTACATACGTGCATCGATGGAAAAAGATCGCTTGTCCCATCTTGCGCTTTTGCACATTCACTACACTACCCCTGTGGACTTGGACACTGTGGTAGACTGTTATGCTCGGCTACACCCCCGTCGACTTCAACTGGAAAATCTGCTGCAACAACGTTAGTTTAACACTAAAGGTCCGTTTTAAGCGAAAAAGAACCCACCCAGGAATAAACCAGCTTACGGGCCTGTATCGCTGAGTATTTTTACGAGTTGTGTCGTATTTTGACGAGCCCGTACGGCGAGTCAAAATACAAATAACGAGTAAAAGTACTCAGCGATACTACACAACAAAACGTCTAATAAGTTATTTATCATCCAACACGCCAAACTGTTATTTCAGTGCGGGCGAATTTCGCGTATATTTATTTACGGGGAGTGCGTGACAGAAGTATGCGAAGCGGAACGGAATTGGCGCGTTGTCGTGTTGCTGTTTCTATTTTCT